GGGAAATTCGGAGTGGGTCCTGTCATTGTTATTAGCCTTTATTAGGATATAATGGGCTTTCCGTTTCATTGTAACCACTAGGAAGATATCTTATAGTTTGTGTATAAATATTGGTTGTAATATCTCAAATATAATAATAGAATATACAGTTTCTACACTTTCCATTGATGGCTAGCCTATAAGTATGGATCATGGTAACCGTATCCATTAATTCAAATAGGTACCAAAAGCCATACCGAAGACCAGTCAAAAAAAATTAGGAACAGTTATGGACAACTTGGGCACTATTATATAGAAGAGGAATGTTATACATATCACATTTCTTAATCAGTCACTTATCACATGATATGGGAGTATACATGTCACATCGAGATCAGGTTTAGATTAGCATATGACCACTTGTGTACATGTTATGCGGCTATTGATAGAAGTCAAAAGATCCTAAATGGTTGGGGGAGTGTGACTCTTCTCTCTTCTTTTACTTATAATTTGGGTATTTTTAGAATTGACGGAGTTAAGTTTGTTCGAAGTTATCCTTTGTTAATATTAATATTAATATATAAGAGTATTGTACCTGCAGCTAATATATGGTGTTGCAAATTTCCATTGGCCGCTTACCCATAAACAAGTGCCACAGTGTCACCTTCAACGCAATACCCAATCAGAGAAACCAAGATCATACGGTGAACTCTCATCAACAATCTCACATGTTTGAGTTAAAATTAGTCCCACATTGGAACACTAGAGTTCCTTGGAGGCCTTTATAAGGCTTACTCTTGCAAATAGAGTAGTGTGGATAGGCTATGCAAGTGGCCCAATTGAGTGGCTTGTGGGTAATGAATAATTAATATATATTTAATTAATCAAAAGATTGGCCTTGGGGCACTTGGGCTCAGTGATTTAAATTAAACCTGATTAGTTAATTAATTATTTTTAAATAATGTTTTGAGTTTGTCCTATAAATTTGAAGAGAACATTCATATCGTCATTCTTGTATAGCCGCATCGATAAACCCAAAAATTTCGCTAGAAATGAAAGCTCTCATGCTAGGACTTTGATTTAGAAAGTTGTATCCTAGTGGAGCAAATGCCATATTTAATTTCATTATTCTATTTGTTGTTTAAAATATAATTACTAATTAAAGTAATTAAAAAAGGCTAACATATTACTTAATTACATATATTAAATTAAAGAAGCAGGCCAAAAAACAAAAGTTAAGAAACTAATTATATATTTTTTTACTATTTATTTTCAGTATAGCCGCACGGCTATACAAAAATTTTAACGAAAACCTGGTATAGCCTGTGGCTATAACACAGACCCGCCCAGCGCACGACTAGCACCCTTTTTTTAAAAAAAAATAAAATAAAAAATATATATATAGAGTATAGCCGCCGACTGTACTATTTTTAAAAGCAATTAAGGGGAAAACTGCGTATAGCCGGGCGGCTATACTATTTTATTTTAGTATATATCATTTTTCTTCAATAATATGTGAGAATTATGTGTTTAATGGTTAATTAATATATATTTAATTAGTCAAAAGGTTAGCATTGGGCCTTAGGGCTCTTGGGCTCAGTGATTTAAAATAAACCCAATTAGTTAATTAATTATTTTTAAATAATGTTTTGAGTTTGCCTATAAATTCACAGAGAACATTAATATCATCATTCTTGTATAGCCGCATCAATAAACCTAAAAATTTCACTATAAATGAAAGCTCTAGTGCCAGGACTTTGATATAGAAAGTTGTATCCTAGTTGAGCAAACGCCAAATTTAATTTCATTATTCTATTTGTTGTTTAAAATATAATTACTAATTAAAGTAATTAAAAAAGGCTGACATATTACTTAATTACACATATTAAATTAAAGAAGCAGGCCAAAAAACAAAAGTTAAGAAACTAATTATATTTTTTTTAATATTTTTTTTCATTTTAAAGAGTATAGCCGAACGGCTATACTATCTTTAATAAAATTTCAAAAAGAATCTCGTATAGCCGGGCGGCTATACTATACAGACCAGTCCAGCGCACGAGTAGCACCGTTTTTTTTTAAATTAAAAAAAAAAAAACATAAGCGACGGCTGTACTATTTTTAAAAGCAATTAAGGGAAAACTGAGTATAGCCGGGCGGATATACTATTTTATTTTAGTATATATTATTTTTCTTCAATAATATGTGGGAATTATGTGTTCAATGGTTAATTAATATATATTTAATTAATCAAAAGGTTAGCATTGGGCCTTAGGGCTCTTGGGCCCAGTGATTTAAATTAAACCCGATTAGTTAATTAATTATTTTTAAATAATATTTTGAGTTTGTCCTATAAATTCGCAAAGAACATTCATATCGTCATTCTTGGTGATTGGGCAGAACTTAGTACCTCACCCAATCTGTTTACCGACTCCAACCAAAATTCTCTCCAAACACCATCTCTTGTCATGAGCACTGCTGCCACGCCCAAAAATGCATGCGAGCCCTTGCATTTTTACTGGTTTTCTAACGATAACAGTACGGAATATTACATTTACATGCACTTTGCAGAAGTTTTGCAGCTCCAACGCAACCAGTCCAGAAAGTTCAACATCACTGGCGATGGGAAGGTCTTTTATGGGCCAATGGCTCCTACGTATTTAAACACAACCACTATTTACGGAAGAGTTCGGCCAACTGGGTTTTTAGGAAATTTTTTTCTTTTTCAATCTTGAAGACTGAGAAATCTACCCTTCCACCCATTCTGAATGCGTACGAGGTTTATTCAGTGAACCAATTGTTAGAACAGGAAACAAGCCAAGCAGACTGTAAGTATTAATTCTTCCTCACCCTTTTGTTCCTAGAGTAATTATGGGAAGCTTATTGGCATGTGTACGTGCATGAATAATTGAATTTGATCATTTATTTTTGGTTTATTGAATATTGATATTTTTAGTGGATGCAATCACAAACGTCAAGTTGGCTTATCAAATTAAAAAGACCAACTGGCAAGGAGATCCATGCTCCCCTCAAGTTTACTCGTGGGACGGCCTCAAGTGTATCTATCCTACAAATGCGTCTGCAAGAATCATATCCTTGTAAGTATCTTCATAATTTTGATTATTTTAGTTTAGTACTTGTTTTAGTGGTTAATTAATTTATGGACCAAATATGCAATTCAATCAGGAACTTGTCCTCAACTGGATTAACAGGGGAGATAGATCCTTCTATATCCAATCTCGCAATGATACAGACTTTGTAAGTATGTTTTTGTCAAATAAGTTGTGGATTAAACTATGGATACCAGGTTAGAATTCTTAGTTTCAGCATTTCATATTTTGGATATTTTGGGAGCAAAGAAGAAATCACGGAAAGATTGAGAGAACGTTGCTCTGGAGAATGAAAAAATGCTTCGATATATTCATATCTGCTCCACTATTTTGGTTATAATCGTTAGACAGAGAGAGAGAAGAGAGATTCTTCCCTGTACCAGATTTACAATAAGCCCAAGTTCTAGCATCCTATTAGATGCTTACACATGTCACTTAATCCTATACTAGAGATTAAACACTTGGACTGTGATCCAAGGGTGCACAATAAAAACTGGAAAAAAAAGATAAACAACCAAAAGAAATGAGAAACAGAATAGACGCAATTCCTTTAGCTCCAAAACTCGGCTGAAGGATTACACACCAACA